GGAGATCCTATATGAATTGGTAAGGTTATAATTCAGAAACTGAAACTGAACGATCATGAATTCTTCAAATCCGCATCCTAAGTTGTTTTTTTTTTTAATATTGAACGGCCATTTGATTTGGTTATCATGCAGGTCAAGAGAGAACTATCCCAGAAAACGTTAAAAGACAATGGCAGTGGAGAGACCCCGTAGGAAGATGGAACAATTACAGTGATGAAATAAATGAGAAAATAGAGGCGTGTTACAGAAGGAACAGAGATTCAACAGTTGTCATTCAATTTAAAGGGCATATGTAAGTTCTGTATTTAAATTACCAAGTCAAGAAAAATGAATAAATTTGAATAATTTAAAACAATAAAAAATGTACATGTATATGGGTTTTTTTTTTCAAATTGAAATAGGTGTGCACTTTAAAACTTCATTTCATATCATCCATCATGTATCATACATATTGTACTAGTTCTTATTATTTTAAAAATAGAGATGTGGTGTCACGGGTATTTGAGTATTCAACAATCGGTAGCGCTTGGTCATCCTGACTATCAAATTGATATTTTTACTCGGATACTCTATATTATATTATAGCGTCAAATGATGTATTAATTACAAACCTAGTGTTTGGTGAAAAAATAACATGTCACAGTATTTGAGAAATTGTATTTAAGAAAAAAAAAGGGTGTCGTAAAAACGTTTTACAGTCAGAATGATTTGTTTCATGTAGTTTGCTAAGTTTAAAACTTGTATTGAGGAAAATAAATACTTATAAGAGTATAAAACATAAAATATTCTTGTACAAGAAATTGTGACCTTCCTATATCAAGTATGATTTAAACATTTTATGAATGCACAAAATGTTGATGTGCAGCTATAGCCATTTTATATCTCCATATTTAAGCTTGTGCAGATCTTGTTAAAAACAACCCGAAAGGCATTCGTCGTGCTGCACACGTCAATTTTATTTGTACACGATTGTTTACGTTGGTACTTTACGTCATTTAAAGGGATGTTAATATTTTTATATATTTAAATTAAAATATTGATATTTATCTTTTTTAGATGCAGAATCATCCTACAACAAAGAAAACATGTTGATACCATCACTAAATTAACTACAGATATCAGGGTGTGCACGGGATATTAGAGCTGGAAATATACTGTGTTTATTTCTGAAGAAAGATTTTAAATTTGTCCTCATATGACTGTAAATGATAATCTATTTTCAGCAGTGAAGAATAAACTAAATTTAGGAGTATTGAACATCAAAATATCTGAATATATGGATACCTAAAAACTAAAATAACTTTTCGAAAAGAAACAAAAACATATTGTTAATCAGATGGTGTTACATGTACCTAAAACTACAGAGACATTGTAGGAAATTTATCAAAATAAATTTAACCAAAAAACAATAGGATAAAAGACTTTAAATTTTAACACCTTGTACAACCGTTCCTCACGGTATTCAAGTCTGCAAATTATTTTGTAAAAGCATTCCTGTACTCACAAAAATTTCATTGTTTTCACAACCGTCTACGGATTTATCTGAACATGACAAGAAGCAATGACTGGTCGTCAAAAGACACCTACTCGTCCATGTCATTTGATCGTCATTAAAAAAAAATACAAATAGTTTTTTGTTTTAAAAAATGTGCCTTTAAAGTTTACCATACAAATAAGAAAAGATCTTAAAGACTTTAAATATTTTCAAATATAAAATGCAGAAGGCTAAAGTTTCAAAGCTTCAATGACTTTTCTGTGCCCTTATGTTGAAAAGTCCTGCTGCTCGTGCCTAGAGCTGACAAAAGTATCTGTCAAATTTAGGAAGTTGTACTTTTTATGATGCAACAATTCTAAAAGTGAATAAAATTGGAAATCAAAGAGTAATCACATTTCCTTCTTACAAAGGAAGTCCGTAATGCGGAAGTATAGAATTATTTTTAATATTTTATATTGTAAAAATAAATAAATATATTTTCAAAAGTTATAAAGTAGTTTTTTTTAATAATGAGTCGAAGCTATCAAGACGAAGCTTACTGGCAAGAAAGAATAAGAAGTGAAACAATAGAACGTAAGTATTTAATGTGTTTGTACAGATTTTGCCAAAATTATTCATTATTAGAAATATACTCGAATAATTCACAACTCACATATCCACCTACATGTAAAAGCAATTTTGAATATATTTCAGTTATATTTTTATGCCTTCCTTTCTTGAATAACCATAATACATATGTTTCAGAAACTTTGCAAATTATATTACAATTCATTGTTTGTAAAACTTATAGTTCGCAAAACACAGCATATGCAGGGCAGTGGAGTGTCTATCGTATTTGTTTTGGATGCATCAGAGAGTATGAAAGGCGAAGGATTTTTGGAGATGAGGGACGCGTTTGTATCGATCATTGAAGGCATGTTACAATGTGATATTGATAAATATAAGTAAATCAAATATTTTTATTTTGTTTCAAACAGTAAAGCGAAACGTTCTTAAAAGCTTAAGAAATAGTTATATGTTTTTTACTTTTAACTTAATTTTAAAGAATAAAAAAATTAATGGCAGTAAATTGTGATTACTTTTGTTTTAGACTTTTATCGTCATCCTGAATTTGATCATAATGTTGCTGTCATTCAGTTTGGAAGGGATGTCAAATATCTACATTATTTCTCCAACAACTACTTGTCTTTAAAGCACGTTTTAGGTTTGTTGACTTTTTCCTTCATCTGTTTGATACAAATGAACTATGTTTTTTATAACATATACAAATGAATTACTTTCCTCAAGGGATTCTTATTTACACAAGATCATAAGAATGACAATGATCTTTATTTCAAGTTTTCTGCTCTTGAGTGAAAGAATGAAATATATTGAATCTTTATAACATCCACGCCAAATGTATTTGTTACGAAACATTACAACATTGGTCGCCCAGTGCTGTACGAATAATGTTCTAAGAAATATACATACTAGTATACTGTCTATAACAAACTGTTCTTAATATACAGAGGATACCTTTCAATCTCTTGAGGAGAACCGCAATGGAATGAAATTTATGTAGATAACGAACAGTTCAAAAGTTTATTACAAAATAGAAACAGAGCAAACATGGACTTCCAAAACATCAAAGGTAGGATTAGGTGCCATGGAGGAGTGAGCATCCCCTGGCGGCCGATAAAACCCTCCATGTGCTCCTTATCGTGATCGGGAAATAACGTAATACATGTAATCCGTCGACAATTTATTGTGTAAATAATGACAAACAATTATATACTTTAGACTATTTTCTCGATATGCTAGAAAAAATTGTTTTATATAATTCTTGTTGACTATTAGATAATATTTTTCAAACACGTAACTTCTTAAATCATTTTTCCAGATGGTATTACTTGTGAAGGACCATCAACTATTATGGAGGGACTTACCTTGTCAATTTCTGCCCTAGATGATGGAAGTAGGATCAGTTATAACAATTTTATTGTTACATGTAATATAAAGGTTAATTGACATCAGTCGTGTTCATTTGTAGTTTTAAAACATATTTATCAGAGAGGTTATCTATTTAATTGTCATATCAATTCTTATAAATAAAGTGTAAACGTTGTAATTTTACATTAAAAGTAACTGCTATAAGTTACTTTATTTAATTAACCAGTCTTTGCCAAAGTTTCATAATTTGAATTTGGATGTTTGAATAGTGTAACTTTTACAAAATAGACATTGAAAACAAAGCTTTCAAATATAAATTGAAACGGAATTCGAAAAAAAATATTATGATTTGATTACTTTTACTTTACATTTATATTAATTAGATAGATTGGCCAGTGTTGGACCATTTACCAACAGGGCTAGATTGGTTTTCATTTCGAATGGCAATACGAAGAATGTACATGTAAATCAGTTGGGCGAAGAAGATGGATATTTAGCCGCTATATCTAGAAGTGAACAGGCAGTAAAAATTTTAATTTATTACATTGAGTTCTTTCGGGTCTGAAATAGGCCTAATTCAGTGTATGCAATTTGGGATTTTTTTCACAGATATAAAGCTAACATTTTATTTTGATGATAAGTATTCCTTTTATCTGAGGTAAAATTTATACATTTTTTCATATTTTCTAAGAAAGAGCATATCTCAAACCTTGCCAAGAGAATAGGAAATGCAAACCCAATTTTCTGTATTCCCGTCGGAAAAGAGCCAGATGTTGTAAGTTTATCTTATATCACGTGAACTTGAAAGTAAGACACACATTCTCTCAGAGAGAGGAAGAGAGAGAGTATGTGTAATTTTTTGGTCATTTCTTTTCAGTGTTTACTTGGAGCAATTGCGTATGGATCCAAAGGCGGAAAACTCGTACAGCACAAAGAAGCCAAGCAGTATGCAAGATATACTTATAACATGGTACTTTTTTCAAAATGCGTATGAAAAATTTATCTTTGCTATGAAAAAAGAAATCAAATTGTTGTATATGGCTGTATTTGTTAAACTGATGATTGTTCAAAATATTGTGTAGTTTGTTGCTGGAGAAATTATGGGCCGAATTCCCCCGTCTGAATATACAATGGATGATATTAAGACAGCTGTCATTGATAGAAGAAAACAACATGATATCAAAGAGAAGGATCTGGTATTTATTTTATCAAGACTTTCTTGGACATATATGGGTGTTGTTGTCTGTTGTTCAAACTAAGTTACATCTACGTGTGAAAAGTAAAAGTATGAAAAGGAGGGCATAATAATAATTAGAAATACATGCAAATAGATAGCAAATAAATTTATATTTGCGAACAATATAAATGGAATTTAAATATTCAAACGTATTATAATGTTTCTATAATTTTTCAAAGAAGTTAAAACAAAGTAACACAGGTCGCCGTTCCCATTTAGGAAGACGTGTTTGAAATTTTGAAGAACAGACACGCTTATGATATGAATGTGTACTCTGATGAAGAATCAATGGAGGACAATGAATACCGTGAGCGGGATAGTCGACTTCCGCCTCCAGGAACACGTGTTCGAAGAGGACCTAACTGGCATTATAATGATCAGGACTCAAACGGTCCGGGAACTGTAATTGGGCATTGGACTCGAGGTTTAAATTCATTTTATTCTTTGTGAAAAGAATTATTTATAAATATTAATTATGCATTTCATGAAATATTTTTTAAAAATCTTTGGACAGATTCCTGGGTTTACGTTGAATGGGATACTGGAATGAAATATCCATATGAATATGACACTGAAAATGTCGATTTAGGAGATATTGTCATCACCGATGAACCTAGGTTATTGCAAAGAGAAAATATTGGAGTTGGATGTCTTGTTCAGAGAGGTCATTTTTTTCGTTTGAAAATCAGAGAGACACAAAAGGATCATTTAATAATTGTCTGTCTGTCTATCAATTCATCAAACTAATATGTTACATGTACATGTACCTCATATCTCTATAACTGTTAGAAGTAATAGTTTGATTCTTCTCCCATACTTTTATTGGCAGTCTAAAGTTTTTGTAAGATTCATTGTTATTGAATTGTGACCCTTAAACAGACCTTTTATCTATTTCTCAAAATAGATTTTGGTGCATATAAAGCATATGTTTGACCGTTTTTGAAGGTTAGCATGTAAATCACGTGTTTATGAGCTAATGACAATTTAAAACTTGGGAACAGCTTCACCGTACAACACAAGCTGAAACTAAAATACTTTGAAAATACATCAGGAAATATATTTCAAAATAGATCATTGCCTTTTTTCCAAAGTACTTAAGAATAAAAATCAAAATTTGTGAAAGTGCAAGGATGTGCCAATTAAACCCATCCAAATATGTAAAGTTTCAATAACTTTTAGATGAAATAAGATTTTTAATTTATTTTCGTGTGCCAAATACTATTACAACATATAAGTCGTGATATTACTCAGAAAATATTAACTTCAAATCTTGGTCTAAGCACCTTTAATATAAGTCTGAACAATTAACATCACAAATCAAAATTGTGATGAATGAATCGCAACCTAATTTTAATTAATATAGGAGGATTTTCGTCTCCGCTTTTTTTTCTTCATTTTTTTTTCGTCCTAAACAACAGTGGGCGAATAAAGATTAACACATTTAAAGAAAACAGTTTAATTTCTTAAATAGAACTGTGCCATTTCCAAACGGATTGCAAGTAAGAAAAGGAGAAAATTAAACGGGGCGAAAATAACTCTGTATACATTATGAATTGATCGAATTTATCTTTTGTTACCGAAATCTATATATCATTTTGTTAAATGTTAAACTAGTTGCATTGTCATGTATAAACAACGATCGAAGTCTTCACTCATAATTATTAAAAGTACTAAGACAAATTATTAGTATCATTTATTATTTAGGTCCTGATTGGCAATGGAAAAACCAAGATGGCGGTCCTGGCAATATTGGAACAGTGTATAGAGTCAAGGAAAACGTTGTTTATGTAAATTTTATCTTTTAAATCATGCATGGGCTGATTTTATCTTTTAAATTTAATCATTATTTGTATTATATTTTAACTTTAGGTACGATGGAAAAATGGAAATAAAAGCAATTACAGATTTGGTTATGACGGCAAATTTGATGTTGTTGTCTGGCAAGTAAAAATGTTTGTCAAATATAATATCAATGTAATGATTGTTTTTCTCGAACGTTAACAGGTTAAACTCAATTTAAAATAATTCAGTACAAAAACTTTAAACACTTCATTAACTTATTTATATTTTTATTCATTTTTTTCAGTGATCCATTTGACGAAAGCATAGAAACCAGTATGCCATGTGTGGTATTTTCAAAAGGAAAAAAGGGATAATAAACACTCGGAGTCTTAAGTGGTTTACTTTAAGATTTTTTTCGTCGTTCAAGTCAGAGTTTTAATTTAAATGAAAGGGATTAAAACTTGCATATTATTTCAAAGTAACAAAAATAAAAATAATGTATATCAGAATATATTACTTGTATTTTTCAATCAAATGACTATAAAAATGCAGAAATAAAAAGGAAGATACTAAAAGGAGATAATCAAAGAAATTGGATACATCAGATCAATGAATTATTTGAGCTGTATTTTTATGGCAGAAAAATGACAATGAAGGAATCTGCAAAAGACATAAAAATGGAGATTTCTTGAATTAATAAAAATTGTTTTTGTATTGCTGTGTCAAGTGTGAGATGAAGATTGATTTTTACAGACTACACAAAAGATAGGCCAAATTTTGCCTCAAATTTGTTTTTATTCAAACTTTTGTATTTTGTTCTAGATACAAAATCTCTCTGGATATACATGTATCAAGAATATTTTCAACCACACATTTTTGCCAACATACATGTTGTTTGAAATAAAGACTATGGGACATTCCCCTGTAAGAAGACTGTGGAATCAGACATTCAACTTCAAAAATTTTAAGAATATATCTTTTTTTTCAATTACCAATTGATCTTTTGGAAATTTTTGTTGTTTTTAAGGTAACCTTCTTCTTACCTTTATACGGGTAAAAAAGTGACACTGGTTAATTTAAGTAAAAATAAGATATAAAAATAGAAGATACAAGGCACCAAAATTAAAATTTAACCTGTAAATATGAAATACCTAACGTTTTCTTAAGCGAAAATACATCAATTAATTTTTAACTTAAAAATAACAAAATGATTGAAATTGATCTCAGAATAAAATATTTAAAAATGCGGCAAATTGGATAAGATATTTCGGTAATTTAAGAAAGTTCAATCATAAGAAAGAAAATGAAGTTTCAGTAGATGAGGTCACAATAATTGAACTTTGACCTTGTTTATATGATCTTGACCTTAAATATACATAAGAAATGGAGACTCATTTTATAAATGTCTAAGAATCCTGTTTGACCAATCGCCTGTGTAACCTTCCACATAATTCAGAATATTTGTGTATTAATGACGTAAGTTAAAAAATCGGGGTTCCATTAACTTTTGCTCTTTTTAATTAGCTTAATTATTTTAAATCCTCATGATTAACTCTATTTATATCACTTCATGTAGTAATAAAGTGTCCAACAAGACTTGTATTATTAGTCTGGTCCGATTTATAGGAAAAAATACTTCTAACGGCAATTAATTATTATTTGGTCCAGCAGAGTTTTTTAACCTATGTCGAGTATGCTGAATCCGAAAAAATATGTTGGCCTTCATGAAAATGGCGTTAAAGAGGTCAAAATGGCGATTCAAAATAGCGGGCATTCAATTTTTCTAATTTTTTCTTAATATTGTTCAAAATGGAGAAGTAATGTGTGAATATCTCATTGAGTGTAATACAACTTTAAAAATGATAAGAGAATGCAAACATTATTAGTTTAACTCAGAAAATTTAGTCGTTTCTACACTTAATTCGAATTTTCTCTGATTTATTTGTCTATTGTTTCTATATTCTGCTTTCAATTGGTAAGGATTTTACATTTGCAAATATCCATACACTGCAGATTTGTATTTTTTCTCTGCATCTCACTATTTTACAACTGAATGATGATGCAGCTGTAACTAACAATTTAAATTTTCGGAAAAATCTCCGCAATGGCCCATCCATAAGTTTGCAGAAAACAACCAAGAACAACCATCCCATCTAATTATATAATAGTGTTGCATTATGCATGTACTATGCCTAAATAGTAGGCAGGGTTTGACAGATGGTGCACGAGCCGGAGGCCCTGCCTACTATTTAGCCATAGTACATGCACAATGCAACACTATTGTTATTATTATGCTGACTGTTGTTATTATTTATGCGGCAATCCATTTGATTTTTTCCTGAAAATAATGGTGGTAACACAGCGCACTTGCAAAAACTCATTCAAAATCTTCATGCTAAAATTAGTTGCATGCTTAGTTATTTTGGTTACTAGTATTTTCTCTAAATAAGTCAGAATTTTCTGTCCCAAAGATACTCATCTTTATTTTCTGTTTTGTTAGACTGATTTGTTTACAGACGTGGATTCTCATTGATAATTTTCTTTTACATCCTTCAATCAAGCGCTATATAAAAAAGCGTTTTAATGACCCCATGGTAGCAATTCATCTAACGATCTGTATGTAATTAGTTTGAAACTTTGTTGTACACATTTATCTAAGATTCCTTAGAATAAATATAACTGTTTTCAAATAATATTTGTCTATTTTCTCCTTCTTGTGTCAATTGTATAAATTAAGTTTATATATTTAATAAAATTCACCCAATTAGTGATCGTCTCTGTGGCGTAATCGATAAGGCATCGGACTGGCAACCTCATGGTGGTGAGTTCGATTCCCGGTTAGTGCATTGAAGAATTTTATTCAGAAAATAAGGCCGTGCACTATTTCGGCATAGTATGCTTACGCTATATAAATCCTTAGACCACTATGCGAGAATAGTAGGGTATGGGTTATATAGAGACAAACTGACAGGAAGCATAATAATTGGTCTTAGTAATACGAGGCTTCCACAATATATTTATATCACGTACTGCCTGTCAATGTGCTCGCTTTGCATGCATATAAACAGAATGGGAAGCGTTATTTCTAAATAATTTTTGATGCACGTAAGTGGTCAATGTGTATTTGTAACGCAGTTTTTTTTTTCAGTTAATTTTCCGTCTTCTCAATCTTCTATTGATATGTATTACAATAAATGAATTGTATTCAATATAATTATATATTTTTTCTGAAGCTCTGGAAAAGACAGATTTATCGCCGAAACAATTTAAAGGGTAAAATTGCAGGCTTTAGAAAGGTCCCATTCGCATTCTACAGGTGTCTATCTCTAGAAAGAATGAGCAATGGCATAGCAATATACTAGTATGATAACAGGTAGAGGTGCAAGAGGGTACTCAAAAACAGTACAAGGGCACTGCTTGAAGAGCTAAAGACTGCTTCTTCACTCAGCAAACACTGACTTAACCAATATCACCACATTCCAGTCCATCTTCAGTCATCCAATCACCCCTCCCCATACCCCTACCCCTTCCACACACAGCGAGTAGTAACAATGTTTTTCATATTGGTTGATGGGAGGAGACAGGGTAATATATGTTTTTTTTCCAAGGTATAGCAAAGTTAATAGGCAGAGGAATTTCCCTGGGTGTCCCTTTCTTCTGAGTTTAGCCGATTATATTGATTAGTCCATTAAATATGAACAAACAAAAAAATACTAGAAAAGTTTCATTTTTTCTGGAAATACATGTAGTTAAAAAACTCGACTTAAGAGTTTCTAAATTGTTCCCTCGTATTTGACCGTGTTCCAAAGCCTTTGAGCCCTCGTCAACCTAAAATAAATTCTGAATCGCTGTTACTATCAACTCGCACTTCCACCTCAACATTCCTCAACACACTATCAAATATAACTGAGGAAATGCTTGTCCGATTTCATCGAACCCTTTGTACTAGCTTTTGAAATTAGCACTTGTAAGAGCTGAGTATTATCCCATAACATCTTCTATTCCAACTTTGTTTGTTATATGTTTCAGTCTGGCTTCGGAATTTTAGTATTTTCAGCATTCAAGGAACAACACATTTATGATCAAATGTTAAAAGTATATTTTGTTTTCCAAAACTTTATGCAAAATGAAAAAAAAATCTCTGACATTAGAGACATGTAGCTTTCTACTTTGTGACTGCATAGATTTGTTGTCTTTTTGGGTGAAAAAGTCATTCTATTAGCAAGAAAATTCTCAAACTTTATCATGTGGAATTCACATTGTGTATACAAAGTTGTATAAAGGTGCAATTTAAGAGCACTCGCAGATTCCTCGTGATTCCTATAATGTACAAGATTTCGTACCAATAGGCCTAAGCCATTCTTGACTTCGATCTATTCAACACTTTTCTTGACGACAAAATTTTCTTGAAAACTCAAAGAACTTTACAAGGCAACTTGATCCAAACTTCTTTGCTAGGATAGTGTAAGGTTGAATCAAGAATCGAGGGGGAATTGAACATAAACATTTTCCTCTTTCAGATTTTGTAAATACCAAAATTTAAACACACTGTTCAAAACAAGATTATCGGTTAACAACATAAATATTTGTGAATGCAGGTGAATTTTTGACTGAGAATAACAAAATGCAAATGCAGGGACACGGAATCAGAGCTTTAATCAAGAACAAATATGGTTTACGTATATTATACTGATAATTCTTAATAAATATGTTGATATTTGGATATTATAATATATTCAGATTGATATGATGTAACAATTCCTAGCCCTCTAAATGGTTGTGATTCATCATTTTTAAAAACATGCTAAGTTATGTTGCACCAGACCTTCCACATAAACATTATAAACATTTATTTTTTTTTTACACTGGACTAAAAATAGATCAAGAATTTCCAACAACTGATATGATTTAATAAGCAACCCTCGAACTAAAATGTTCACTCGCCTTTATGCTCGGAGAATACTGCTCTTAGGGTAGCTTACTTGTCATTTTGTCCTCTAAACAGCAATTATTGTATGATATTATTAACATTTTATATGAAGAAGCATGGTGAGAGACAGGCAATAAGTAAAATGTCTTCGGAATTGTCGTCAAAAAATTATCTAAAAAATAATAGAAGTAATTAAACAAAGATCCATGGCATAAAAATCATAAGTAATTAACAAAAATATCCTCCAACTTTCATTGCATACTAGTATTTTAATATTATTTCATTAATAAAAAATTGTAATTTCTTTTCTGCAAAACAACTCAGAATTAAGCGGTTTTAGTATGTTTTGAAATTCGAATGTATATGACGTCATTTTGAATCACCATTTTCAGCTAATTAACATTTTTCAAATTTAAACGACCAAATTTTCTGCATTAAAGTGATAATATTAGTGTTCTACTGTCATTTTACATCTATTAGGTGTACTACGCTCAGTTCGATATTCACAAATCCTTTCTCCTATGAAAACAGCATTAAGAAATAATTTGGAAAAAATTGAATATCCGCCATTTTGAATCGCCATTTTGACTTTTAACTTACAGCTGCACCATCATTTTATTGTAGAATAGTGGGATGCAGAGAAAAAATACAAATCTGCAGTGTATGGATATTTGCAAATGTAAAATCCTTACAAAAGCAGAATAAAGAAACAATAGACAAATGAATCAGAGAAAATTCGAATTAAGTTGTATTACACTCAGTGAGATATTCACTCTTTACTTCTCCATTTGTAACACTATTTAGAGAAAATTAGAAAAATTGGATGTCCGCAATTTTGAATCGCCATTTAGACCTATTTAACGCCATTTTCATGAAGGCCACCAAATTTTTCGGATTTGGCATACTCGAAATAGGTTAAAAACTATGCTGGACCAAATAATAATTATTTGCCGTTAGAAGTTATTTCTAGCCTTCTTTTTAAAAATCAGGACCAGACTATATCTAGGCATCGTATTCTTTTATTTAAAATTGAAATGTTTGGAACTAATCTTTGATATATATATTTATAAGAAATACAAGGTATGGGCCTCAACCTGAAAAAGACTTAATCCTTTTGTGAATAAGACTTCACTCTATTGTGAAAAATTAATGAGTATGGAAGTTACTGGTCATCTGAGAAATTTTTGCCTGTAATACTTGGCGCTTAAAAATTTCTTATATTTACATCACAGGTTTTACAGTTTTTTACAGAACGTTTTGAACCTCTTCTTGGAAAGTAGCCCTCTAAAATCTGTTTCTCATGAAACATTCAATTAATATCACCTTCAGAGCTTTACCACCTTGATATCCTCTTTTGAGGTGCTATTTATGTTTTTTATCAGATTATACAAAAGGCATTGTGAGCATCAATTCTTTTAGCCCTCATAATCAAAGAATCGGGGGTATGAAGTTTGTTTTAAATGTCCGTCCATCTGTCTGGCTGTTTGTCGGCTTGTCCGCAATATTTTTAAAAATCACCAAAAAAAAGTCAATCTTAACTTATTCAATAAATCTCTATTATTTTCCCTTTGCATATTTTATGGGGGCATCCTGTATAGCGAGACCTTTCAGAATTTTTTTTTCATGATTTTTTGAAAAGGGAGGGCGGGGGGGGAAGGGGGGTAAATACAAAATCTACTTGATCTTCGCTTTTGTGTTAATTAACAGGCAAAATTAGAACTCAGTGACGACATGTTTTTCCGAAGTCGTCCAAGTGCTGTTAAAATCAAAGTATTGAAAAAACCTGAAAGCCGGGCTTTAATTGCTCGAGTATATTGTCTAATCCGAAAATAGTACATATTTCATTTTTTTTGCTTTTGTCCATTGATTTTAAAGAGGTAGAGTTTGTATGATGATGATATAAAAACAACATCCCATATACCAGTAATTAAAATTAACAGTCCAGACCCCAAGATATGTTATGATTTTAAAATTTAATGAGTTATATTTCTAAGAAATTCTCGCATATACTCTATTTAATAAGCATTTTTTTCTCATAATTTAGAAATTCAGAAAGTCTTGGAATAATTAAAATAATGGACATATTTATTTTAAAGACATTCTTTTAGTTTCAAACAAACGGTACTTTTATCGCCAGCTTCATGTAGAAACACATATACATGTACATTTCAAACGACTTCACGCATGTTAATTATTAAGATTCCAATTCACTATACTATTAATTTGCTAAAAATCAAACATATTATAACCACTATCATAACATCGACGAAAACGATATGAAACTCTTTAACAATTTCAACATTTCGAAAAGCCCGCGCTATTGAAAATAGTTTGCTTACAATACGCATTCAGCAGCGTATGTGTACAAATTGTCACCTCACTATTATCCCAAAACACCAAATATTTAATTTCTCTCTCTGTTCAGTTCTCAAACAAAAATATTAATCATTAACTTTTCCAACGATTGGAATGTCAGATTATATCGAATTCTTATTAGTATATTTGTCTACTTAAATCATTTGGTCTCACGCGCGAATGGAACTATTTTGTTAAATATCGAATTCTTATTAGTTGAAAGTTTATTATACTTTTTTTTTAGACTGTGCTATTTAAAGTAATATTAGTTTTCTCTTAAGTTTTACACTTTTTGAATTTTACCGAAACATTTGTTTTTCCCTTTTCTTCTCTGTAATGATTAATCATAAATTTTTTGTTCATTTGATTTCGGCGTTGGCGCAAAAAATTTTTTTAAAATATATACTTAATGTTCTTTGTTTACTGTAAAATACTAAAATTCAATAGTTTTAAGACAGTCATTGGTATAAAAATAATTCATGATGCCTAGAGCCAGGACTTTGCTTTCAGCAAAGCCCGGCAAAAAATGATATATTTTTTAGACTGACAAAACTGTTCATCGTATATACATATACATGTATATTTATTTGATGCTCGCAGCAGATCTTACAACGATTAATTGACCAATCGTTTCATGAATAGCAATGTTTACGCTAACTACGTTATGCTTACATGGTACATCGAACACGTAGTTCAGTCCGATCCATGATCGATTAAATGGACTAAATGTTCTAATGAAAAAATACAAAGATTAGAATCTATGAAATGTGTCACGGGCGTTTGTAATTTGTAGTTAAACATGAAGCTAGAAAATAAGTAAAAAAAACAAAATAAACTGCTGGAAGCAATTCAAGAGTGAAATAAAGACATTTATTTACTATTTTACAAAACTTAGATAATTATCAGTCTATACCATTCATATTGGAATACCGATCTTGATGTATTTTCACATCAGTTTTTTTTTTTTGGTACAGTGTCAAAGTACATTGAAATGAGCTTATAAATAGGTATAATTCACATTTATCAAATCACTGTCTCTCTTGATTCTAAAGACAGAAGTTCAATTTAACCCTTTGCAATTTAACTTGCAAAGTTTCTCAAAGGTCCGTGTCAAGTGGATTCTAATGATTTTTTTTTTTCAAGTGTATTACATACATGACGAACAGGGCACATAGACCAACCTTTTAAATGTAAATAAGAATTTGTATATCGGAACTGTCAGCATTTTCAAATAGTAGGTTAAAGGTCCCATTTCCGTGAACCACTTAATCAGAAATCTCGCTTAATCTCGTCAAAGCTATACTTCCAAAGCTATACTTTGCACGCCTTTGGTTATATTAATTGCAGAAAAATCGAAAAATAAAAAGTTCTTAACACATTAGTAGGGGTGTTGTTGGAGATGCGGTGTTGTGTTATGGTGTAAAAAGTTCTGAAAAACAAAACGATAAATTGTAATTTCAACTTTTCCTTTTAAGTAAAATCTTTGATCACTGGCTTTCTAAACATATTTATGAAAGGGGTTTGCATTGGAAAGCTGTTGTTTTGAATTTCTATTTTCATTCCATTCAATCAGATGGCTCTTGGTTTAAAATAGATATGCATATCCGATTATCTAAAAGGAACATTTTTTAATATATTGCTATGAGAGTTAAAATTGTAACTAGACGTTTTCCTGAAGAGAAAATACACACTGTATTGACAAGGAAGAACGTGATTGGATCAATTGCGTGAGTCCATTTTGAATTTCTGTTCCAAATATTTTGTAGCATACGAGATAAAATATTCTTTAAAAATCATAAAATATTGATAAATGTTGCAGATAGCAGAATGTTTAGAAGAGTTGATGTATATCATTGGCATAGACGTGCCGAAGAAGAGGCATTGGAAAGTATGTACCTGTTTAGACATTTCCATTTAATTATAATTATATAAAGGTTTAATTATTTAAATGCAAAAAGGATTAAGATACACATATATTTAAACTTTTTTTATCTTGAAATTTTGAAAAAACTAAATTTTGATAAAACTAAAATTTTGATATCACTACCGTAGATAGCAAAAGAAAACACCAGCATGGGGGAGGTGTATGCACGGTATTCCTTCTCGATACATCAGCCAGCATGGCAGGGGAAGGATTCCATCAACTGAAAAAGGCTTTCCTGGACATTTTAAACAGTCTTGCAGATAAAGTCACACTAAGCAATCATAGGACTTTTTCTATTTCATATCTTTGTCTTTAGTAGCTAATAATAATAATAATAATAATAATAATAATAATAATAATGATTTTTTAGTTCTTCAAACCATGTCCATTTCTCGCTTAGTATCAAATATAGCATAACATTAATAACAAGAAACAAAGATTTTTTAATCTAAAAAAAAAACATTCACGGAAATATACTACCAAATGGTATTTTCAAGTTCAATGTGTATATTTGCTTTACTTTTCAGAATTTATTGTTCATCCACATCTCGACGAAAATGTTGCCGTCATTATGTTTGGTGAAGAAGTCAAATTCTTACATTATTTTTCTAACAATTATGGATCTGTCAGAGATTGTCTTGGTAAATTTCTTTATATTACTCAGTTTTAGAGATTTAGAAAAGGTCAAATTTGAGGTGCTTTTTTCTTTTCATTTGAAAAAAAAACACATTATACATTTTTAGGTAAGATTGAATGTAGAGGAAGCTCTCCCATGGAAGCAGGAATCCGTCTTTCTTTGTCCTGTTTACGCTACGGTGGAGGTAAAATGTCCTGAATAAGTAAAGTTATTATATTGGAAATAAGAAACATTTGAATTGCGGTAAACCTCTCATACTGGCTAAAGTTATATGTATATATATATTTTTTAAATATGATAATCTGTAAATTTAGGAGATTATGATAACAGTTCGGTGTTTTGTTTGAACATTATATTGCAATAAATACATGCAATCGGATTGGGCATAAGTTCTAGAGTTTTTTTTAAGTTTTAAAATAAGTAACCCGAAACTTAAATGAAAAATATCATTTATGGAAATAACGAACAGTATTCAAGATCAAAAGTTCATAAAACAATACAAAATATATATGCAAACAAACAATAAATACTATCATTTGCTTAATTGTTTGGGCGCCCCTAAAGAACAATAGCAAAATATACTATAGTTAATTATAGTTTGCAAAAGCTAATCATAGTTTGCTATAGTTAATTATATTTATAATTTTGATTCTTTAACCTGCTATGAAACTTTACTATTGTAGAGCTTTTTTTCAATATTTTAGAGACTGACAATTTTTTAAATTACATACCAATTATGCACAAGAAATGAGACTTTGTATCATCAGAACAACGCTGGTAGGAATTTAAAACAAAATAACATATAAATCTGAATATCATATAGTATAGCTTAACTTTGATTTGATACTTACTCTTCTATGGCACCTGATCCCATCTGTAATATTTTGGAGTTTCGTGTTTGCATTGCTCCTATTTTGTATTGTTTCATGGACCTTTGATCTTGAATACTGTTTGTATTCTCCATATGTTTCATGACTATAATTTACCATGGAATATTTACTATAGTTAACGATAGTAAACTATAGTTAAATTTATTACCTAATCCACTGAATTTTGTTGTTTTATTATAAATTTAATATTTTCATCTATTCTGTATGTGTTTTCAGTTTTTCTTATCTTTTCAAACCGATCTATTGACTGGCGATCTATTGACCAGTCAATAGACTGCACGTTCTATTGACCGGCAACGTATTTCGGAAAAAAAACGATCCGGGTTTCAAATTTAGTTGTTTGTAACACTGCACAGACAATGACATGGTAAACAATCATCTTATTCGGTCTTTCGACATTGGTTCTAAATATTGTGTGATTTCAATGGTCGAATATATTATTTAATTAGAGTTACTTTTAATTAATACACTGAGGGACGTGGAGACCGGTCCTTCGGGTGAGACCTATCAACCGAGGTCCCGTGTCGCAGTAGGTGCACTGTTGGCACGAAAAAAGCCCCTCCACCGACAAGTTGTGGCGTCTCCATATGAGTGAAAATTTTTCGAGAGGAATGTAAAACAATCGTCTATACAATCAATCTTTAATTGATATTAAAGATGCACCATATCTTGGTTTACATTTGTAAACAATATGGTAAGGGAACCTTCTGTACTGAATATACAATTGTGAACACTTATTACGGAAAATAAAATTAGATAATCAAACAATTATTTAATGCCTGCACAGTCAATAGACCAGAAAACTGCTTAGGCATTAAATAATTGTATAATACTAAACTAATATTCTTTTTGTGAGAGAAGTTTGTCATATATACTTTGAAATAATCAAGATTATTTGATTTTATATCAAATAGTAAATTATTAATTTAGGACAGGGTTCTTAATGTTTGGTTAGTTGGGGGAAAATCATATTTGGGAATTTATCCTATAACCCCCTTTTTTATTGTCGCAATTCCGGGATGGGGGGACGGGGACTGGGGGATACTTTTGTGTATGTTGGGATCAAGTGGCCCCATAACCTGGTTGTCTCCCCACCCTGCCTCAAAGCAGGGGGGCGTTTTGGTATGTAATACATAAGTACATGTAGCACATAAGTTGTCAAAGTAACATTATATAGTAACATCCGTGGTTCATGGCCTGCCATGGCTGGTTCCACCTCCACCTCGCACAAGCGGGGGGAGGCCACAGTCTGGTAAAGTAAGTGGGTACACCAGGTGGCGCTGGAGACAGGGAGAAGGGCAGTCCCGCATTCACTGGTCCAGAACGTGGTGACCGTTCGGATCGGGCACTTGTGCTTACACTCGGCCCCCTATGTGTCCATGGTTATTTTGGTACATTTGTAGGTATCCCCCGTCCCCCACAAAAAATTGCGGCCTTTTTATCTCCAATTATGTTGATTGTAACAAATGTGTGTTTTCTGCTCAAAGTGTCAGTAATAAAGTGATAGAACTTAATACAGGTGTTATCATTACAGGTGTTTACATGATAGGAGGGGTCTGATCCGAGTTGTCTGTATGTCTTCTATCTTAGTAGGGGATGGACTCGAAGCAAAGTGCTTGCGCTGCAAGTGCATTGTATGAGGGTAGTACACTAAGCGGAAAGTTGTGTAAAGGGATCATGCTCCCTGTATCTATAATTAATATGCTACACATTATGAGCATACAATCATCAAAGAAGAATTTCTATATCACTAAAACTCGACACTTTGTCAATTCTTTGGTCGATACAATAACAAAATTTAGAAAACAAGTACAAGTTCCTTAACAAAATTTAGATATTTTCAGTTACCTTACATTTAATCAATTTAGTATTAGTGTGTATCATGACAAGATCATATATTATTATCTTTTCAATTTTTGGGGGGGTTTTTCAGGTCACAATGCAGTTTTTAATTCTTATATAAATGTGAGAGCAAGACTGGTCATTATTTCTGATGGTAGGCCAACAACATCCAGTACAATAGGAGGCCAAGAACTGGAGAATTCAAGCAAGGAATCAATATAAGATGGTGTAAGTAATTTTACTAAAATGTTCTTTATATTTCTGGGTATTTCAATAATGTCTTATTACAAAATTCAAATGACACAACTAAATGATTTCTAAATGATTAATATTGTAAAAAGCATTATTTATTTCGTCGACCGACAATATTATTTGATAATAAAAACAAAATCTGACCTTTGAGTAAATAAAGTATCTTTTTTTGCATTCAATATGCCTATTTTATATTCTGTAAGCATGTGATCAACACCTTGGAAGTTTTTTTTTTCATTAAACCAATGTATTACATGTTTTCAGACTTTCACAAGAATACAGTCTTTGATAAAAGATATTGGAAAGACTACACCGATCATATGCATTCCTGTAGGGTCAGATCCTAATGTCGTAAGTTTGACTTTAAAGAGTGCTTGTGGTTGTATTTCTGGAGGTTTAATTAAAAGATTCCTTTCAATTCTATAAAAAGACAGAACATACCTCTGGTGTATGTCTTATTTAAGGTCCATGTTTGCTCTGTTCCTATTTTGTTTTGTTTATTGAACTTTTGAGCTTGAATACCATTCGTTAACTCTATTTATTTCATTTCGAAGAGACAGAATATGTAAACTTTTGATATGTGTTGATCACTGTGTAAGTATTATTTTTTAAAGGATTTCTTAAAATCATTGGTTGATTCATGTTCGGCAGGCCAACTTATATTTCATGGAGATGCTAGACAGTGTGGAAGGTTTGCTCTCAATATGGTAAGAAAATTCCAATTTTTGACATTACAGCACATTCTGTCATGTAAAATTTAATATTGATGCAGGTTCCACAATATTAAACTATATTTACAGAGAATTGTGTCTTGCATCCCAAAAGGAAGGATGGCATCTGAAATCACACCAGAACAAATACAAACTATTGCCAGAATGTCATCTTTACATGATGTAACTAGGAAAGATGTGGTATGAATTGGGTTAAATTATTAATTCGAATTCAAAATTATTAATTAATAATACACTGAAAATTTAAACCTTTTACTTGAAGAATTGATGGGTGAAAGAAACAATTCATTACATTTGATTTCGGTTTTAAAAAGAAATCTACAAATCGGATGAATAAATATATCTTTTAAGGAGGACATATATGGTATAATAAATAAAATAGATGCATTCAAACCAATTACCGCAGAAGATATTGAAGAAGATTCATACACGGAACGATATGAAAATCTCCCTTGCATTGGTACAAGAGTAAAGCGTGGACCTCATTGGACATGGAAAAACCAAGACAGTCACGGTCCGGGTACAGTGATCGGACACTGCGATAGAGGCATGAAAGCATTCAGATCTCTAACTACCAAAGTTACTTTTATCTAAGAAATGCAATTTGAAGAATACGTGTAGAAGTTATATGCATTCTAAAGGCTAAATTGAATTTAAGTACGAGGAACTGGGAATGATATATAACGTTAATTATTTTTCAGTTGGATGGGTGAAGGTGGAATGGGATAGTGTTGTAAGATTAAGTTACCAGTATGGTTATGATGGTTTGATTGAAAAGTACGATATCACTCCATGCAAAGAACCAAGAATTCTAGAGAATGAACTGATCGCCGTTGGTTGCTTAGTTACCAGAGGCATTACATATTTTGTTTTACAATGATTTTAATTTTAATAAATGTCTTTAATTTATCAAGAGTAAAATTCATATATTTCAAATGCCCTTTATCTCTTTGTTAAATAAACTATATTTCAGTGTGTGATATATAGATTGAAAAGCAATTAAATTTCTTTTCACCATTGTTTCTATTATTTTATAATAATTGTTATTTCGAAGTTTTTTAAATTAAGGTCCTGATTGGAAATGGGGAGATCAAGATGGCGGAGATGGAAATGTCGGAACAGTCTACAGAGTCAAACAAAATGCCGTTGTTCTAGTAAAAGCAATCAACGAATACTTATTATTTAAAAGAATTTTTTTCAAAAATCTTGATGCATAAATGATATATAAATCAACTAAAAGACTCCAAAATTGTTTAACATTCCCTTGGGAAAAACAGGTTTAAGGTCAAGATCTAGTAAATGAAAGGTGCCTACAGATTTATCAAATTTGAGAAATAAATTCCTTTATTGATGCTTTACAAATTTAGCTTGGTCAAATAAGGTGTTTTGGGGCATAATTTGTAGGTAAACAAGATGAAAAACTGTAATTTAAACTGTCATTTTCAATGAAAAATTAAGAAAACCAGTCATGCAAATAGAAGTTTTTTTATCATATTCGACAAAGGAAATGTATCCAGATTGCCTACAGTCTCACAAAAAAAGGTAATAAGTATGTTCACGGCCTCTTCTTTAAACCAGTATCAAATTTAATATAGGTATCCGGTTTACTTTTCATATGATTTCAAATTGAATGTCATGAAAATACCCTATTTTCTACATAATTCTGCTAACGCCGTAAAGTACGGGAAAAGAAAGTTGAAATTGATTATGACGTCATAATAGATCTAGCACCAAAAAATTATTCTAAAGTTATGTATTATATCTTGACCTTAACTGATAATTTTCTTTGTGAATATTTTAACATGAAAATGTTTGCTTTTAAAATTCTAAATGGAAATGTAATCAATTTTATATAATATCTAGGTAAAGTGGCCAAATGGTAATCGTAGTAACTATCGATATGGTTATGACAACAAATATGACGTTACAGTATGGTAAGCAAAATATACTTATACATCAGACACATTTTATTAATGTACAAACAATTATCAAAATGATATATGATAATGATTAGTTGCAAAATTTAGCACTTTTCATTTTCAATTTTCATTAAGTGATCCATTTGATCCTGTGGTGCTCCAGTCATTCAATAATCAACATAGATTGAACAACTCTGGAAATCCCGAAAAGGATTAACATAAATTTTAAAAAAAACACTTTAATTGTGAAAATACATTAATTAACATGACTATATGTAACTGCATTCTATTTTAAGTGTTATATAATTTCTTTTTCAAACCTTTAATTTCACCAAAAATCCTGATATATTACGTTAAAATTGTTATTAGCGATGTTTGTATTAATGAATAGTGCAATATTCGGTTTATCATAATAAAAGGCTCTGTAACATAATGACCATTTCTTCCCCAAATATGTTTAAAACAGGACATATGCAGACGTACAAGCACTGAATATCTATATAAGCCATGACGTCATATCTTTGATATGACATCAAGAAAATGACAGAAATTTAAAACTGCCATGTTTTCTATACAGAATAAAGTGTATATTATGTCGATATTTTAGTAAAAATCACTGAGCGCAGGTCTGCTCCGGCTCAATATTTTGACATGATGTGTAGAATGATGATATCAATGTAAATATTGTTCTTGAGCAGGCCTGAGCTCAATACATTTTATCATAAAAACTGAACAAATTTTGTCCATTTTCCCCTTTCTGAAAAATAATACAAAATCCGACTAGTTTAAGACGTCATAAAAACAAGAAAACTTCCAATAACCCTCTTTTAAACTGTAATAGTTTTTGTTAATTTAGATTTTTCATACAATATATACACTTTAGCATATCTCGAGAAATTTTCTCAATATCACTTTTTATGGGGGCAGAAACATGCAATATACTGCATATGCTTCTTTAAATTTTTCATTGCTTTTTTCAAAGTAATATTTAAGAACCCTAAACCACCGAAAATACTTCTTGTCTTTTCTGCAGTCTTCGCAAAGTAACTTTTTTAAGAGGTTGTAACCAATCATTTCGTAGTTTTGAAATCTGGAAACACTAACCGTTCACCGTTCCGAATGATAAAGAAAACTAAAAAATGGGAAAAAATTCAAAATATTGCATTTGTTGATCAAATTTTCTAAAGTAAAGAAAAAACGTCGATGCTTTGACTAAGACTATATCTATAAATACCAGATTTAGGCCTTTAGTGAAAACTTTGCTAATTAAGACACTAACATTTCACGTGCCAGTGGTTTATTAAAAATGGTACAAAATAACGTAAGATGAATATAGGATCTATCACGATTTATAGTTGGATATGATTTTTATTCAACGGTTTGTGTGTTTATATCCCCGAGCAATGGCTCACAATCATTGTTTAAACTCCACGTTTTTTACTTCATTGCGCTATCGCAAATTCTATTTTTACGTTAAGACTATAGGATACCAAAAATACCCAAAGAGTCATATCCACGATATAAAGGGGTAAACTTGGGATAAACTTAAATATTGGATGATAAGACATTTTTCAAGCTAACGACAAAAAAGTAAAAACAATATTTATCCGGAATCAAAGGGAAAGCTCTCACCTTATTATTACAAAGAGAAGTCAGCATTCCAAACATTGGTCGAGCAGGTGTTCATTTTAGTCAGGCATTCCTGCAATACACGAACCTACATCCAAAGAAGGACCCGGGCTACCAGTGGTAGATATAATGCTAACAGACCAATGAAGAAAGTTCAGCATTTTATCTGTAAGGGACCACCAAATACTCAGTAATCTCTTGTATTCGCTCATGTATTTTTCTGTCATTTTAAGTCTGTTATTTAAAAAGAAAAAACTCAAGAAAACAATGAAAACAATTAAGGGTAACATGTACAATTTTAGAATGACATTAGAATTGAGAATTTTATTTATCCCATGTCTTTTATACACCCTTAGAAAGAGTATGCCAAGTTGCTTTTATCGTGGGTAGAAGGACCTCAGACATGTGTAACGATAAAGCTTTGTCAGACATTACGCTTGGGTGCAAAATACGCGGCCTTATGATTTATGATAAAAACATGGGCGAAGAGATATGTGTTGGTTTTGCTATTTTACCACCCATTTTCAATAGTATTGGATACTATTCCATATTTTTAAGTCCCCCGCTAAGACAGTCGTTAGAGTTACGGAGCTGATACTTAGTCAGTGTTTGACGTAGAGATCGGTCGTTTGGATGAAAGCTTTCAAATCTACATAGTCCCATGCTTCAATATGTTCTGGAAAGGATATCATCACTATTGCTAAGAGGCCAAAAAAAAATTAAATGCGAAGTACAACTCTCCACCAGTTTCAAGTGGTCGAATATCATAATGAATAAAAATTCTCAGAGGGACACAAACATTGAACATTGTTTTTATTTACCACAGATTCCCAATTTTCAAAAAGCAAATAAAAAAATTTAGTGATCGAATTTTTAAAAAAATAAAATCATGGATATCGTACACTTTAATGAAATTATCACCATAGAAACAAAATTCGTGACTTTAAAAATGTATATAATTTGATCATTCATCAGGAACGGATATCTAAAAATGCAATACTCATATACGAAAGAGCTCTGTAGGGCCTGCCAAGCTATTGTGAAAAAAGAAGGAAGTTTATTTTATTTTTGCACATAACAATAAATCTGAGTCTAAGGCAAATAAATCAATATATTCTTGGAGTACATTTCCTTAAATGTTGATAAGTATTGAGATTTGAATGCTTTTAGATCTGAATTTACTGGATTACAGGGTAGAAAAATGCAGGTACCACACGATCAACAACATTGGAATGATCTGGCTAAACATGAAGCTCAGGAAAGTAGGTTCCGTTAAAGTTTTATTTCGACAAATTAAAGTATATAATTATAGTAATAATATATGGTATGTATACACCTGATGCAAATCATCAAATCGACAGAAAAATTATAAACAAGAAAAAGTTTTACCAGAAAGATTCGATGGAAAACGCACAGTTGCTTATAAGCATGACAAACTTTTAAAGATTTAGGATTACAATAAAATAGACAATGAATGCTTTTATTACATGTAACTGAAATTGCAAAGTAAACAACACATTTCTCTTGCAATGATGTGATTATCTTGAAACTTAAAACGTCTATCGTTTGCTCATTTCTAACATCTCCATGCATGGGTGCAATGTTTATGAACTTTTTAAGTAATAAATGTTTGGTGGTTAATGAAAATAACATTCAAACACAAATTGTTGTAATTAAAATCTGTATTAAGGAATTTTCTAGTTCAATTCAATGCTATCATGTGGCATCATACCATTGAACCAGTTGCATTGAATATAACTACTCATTTCCCTGTGACTAATTCCTAATACATTTAAAAATTTTAATTAGATCAGATTAAACCTCTTGCAACTTCTGTTTAGATCGTAAACGAAAACATCAACATGGAAGAGGAATATGTACTGTCTTTCTACTGGATACATCCGGAAGCATGGCAGGGGATGGATTTCAGCAGATGAAGAGAGCTTTTAATGAAATTATAAATGGTTTTAATTCTAATTCTATAATGACAATAAAATAGCAAAAGTTTACAGTTATCTAATATGTATCACATAATAATTACTAGATTATAATGTATGCTGGGGCATGCATATATACAAAAGTACCTTAAGTGTGTATTTTAAGGCAGTTTTATGTGCTCTTAAATACTGAAACTGATGAACAATTCGGTTCATGTGAACCTGAAGCACATTTGCAGCTCTGTTCTGCAGCATGTTAAATAATAAAGAGGGTGTGTGTGTGTATAGAGCATTTATTACAAATGCCAAATGAGATTACAGATTTTACAATATCAGAATGCAGCAGAAGGTGGGGCCCAAAAACATCCCACACCTTATACAAAAGAAAACTAGTACATATATTTTCTACAAAATTAACAATAAGTACCTTAAACAAAAGAAACTAGTACATCTATTTTCTACAATAACAAAAGTCATGCAATAACAATAGGCACCTTATATAAAAGAAACTAGTACATGTATTTTCTACAATAACAATAATTATGGAGGATTGAAGGGGTGGTGGTGGGTAAAATTTGTTAACCACCTTTTGGAGCCCAATGTTATTTTGATAAGGATAAGGCTAATAGCCGTTACTAGAGGACGCTTAAGTATAAAACCCGGAAAACTCTTCGGGACCCATGAATTCAAACAAATTGGTAATTAATAAAAATATGCAATTTATTACGTATTTAGATCACATAAATTCCTTTATATACATAAATACACTTATGTGCTCTTAAATACTGAAACTGATGAACAATTCGGTTCATGTGAACCTGAAGCACATTTGCAGCTCTGTTCTGCAGCATGTTAAATAATAAAGAGGGTGTGTGTGTGTATAGAGCATTTATTACAAATGCCAAATGAGATTACAGATTTTACAATATCAGAATGCAGCAGAAGGTGGGGCCCAAAAACATCCCACAAGAGGGACAATGAACGTACAGAGAAGGGTCGCTCGCCCCACCCAAAAATGTGCTTCAATTACTTAATGTATACAGCTTGATAACGATGTAAATACTAACAAAACTATTCACAACATAGATCAATGGAATTCTAAGGATGGATAATAAAAATATTAACTAAAATAAAATAAATACATAATCGAAAGTCATTAACGTACCAACCAGGAATAGAATTATTGCATATCTTGACAAAAACATGTAAATAATTCAAAGAGATATAAACTATTTATACAATCCTCGATATGATACCCAACAACGAATATATTCAGTGCCGCCTAAGACAGTCACCGAATACTTCGTGTACATGTATGTAAGTTTATTAAGTGAAGACAGATAAATTCATACACAACTCGAAAGTCATTAACGTACGTACCAGGAATAAAATTATTGCATATCTTGACAAAAGTATTTAAATAATTCAAAATGATATGAAATATTAATACAATCCTCGATATGATACTCAACAACGAATATATATTCAGTGCCGCCTCAGACAGTCACCGAATAGTTCATGTACCTGTATGCAAGTGTATATTAGTATAAAGTGAAGGCAGATAAATTCATACACAACTCGAGAAAGTCATTAACGTACGTACCAGGAATAGAATAGTTGCATATCTTGACAAAAGCATTTAAATAATTCAAAATGAGATGAAATATTAATACAATTCTCGATATGATACTCAACAACGAATGTATTCAGTGCCGCCTCAGACAGTCACCGAATACTTTGTGTACCTGTATGTAAGTGTAGTATAAAGTGAAGGTAGATAAACTATGCAATGTTAAGCTTTCTCATGCATTATTATGATATTTAAAGCATGAAATTGACGCTTTTATGAGGTTATAGTATTAACAATTAAATTTAAAAAAAAGATGCAGAAAAATAGAGGATACCGCCTCAGACAGAATCCTCCATCTAGGTATTTAATACATTCAAATAATACAGAATAAGGGATACTTTCTCAACCATTTATCCTTTACAATCGGACTTTCTACCACCCTAAATGAAAACATATATGTACTAATAGGCGGGAAAATAGGAACCTTAATGTTCTCTGGAATGACACCAGTTGCAACCATCCCATATCTCATTTTGTGAGTCTTAAAAACACTAAAAAATAGGGTGTTGCTGTAGCAAAAAGGGGTCCTTTGCAGCTAATTTCACCTACTGCAATTGGGTTGGGATTTTATTTCTAGATAGACTTTTATTTTACCTAAATTGTATTGAAAGTTGATTCATTGTAAGACTCCTTTAAACTCCCTTGTTGTCGTGCCTGAAAAGGTATATTTCCTCAAAGCAGCAAATATGGGTTTGAGTCTGAATGAACCGCGATTTCCCTTCCTCTCAGCAAAGATAAATTACAAAAAGGAACATAACCCTGTAGCAACATGTCCGTTACTAAGAATTGGCTATCTATGGTATTGTCACTATTTTTTTTTAAATTTCGAATATTAAAAGTAATAGGATGCACGCATCAACTGACCTAGCAAACTTTTTTGCTCCACTTAACATTTTACTGATTAACAAACGATTCAAGAAATCGGGGGTGTTTCGCATTTAAAAATAGTATATCCATGCTGCCAAGTGATATAGAGCTAGCTGATTTTCCTAAACTGAATAGGTACCGGTAAGACATAAGACATATAAACCTGTCCCAAGGAGACCACTTTAATGCACTTGGTCTATTGATCACCCTGAATGAAACCCTTAAAACAATTTAGAGTATGCCCGTACACTTACTTTGCAATAAGAGCTAAAGCGGAATCTAAAAAGAAATACGGGCTGTGTTTGGAGAGTTGAAAAATATAGATTTGTCATCTTAAATATCCACAAGCACTCTTTACCCAAAATATTGTAAAGAACCAACAATAATCTTCTTTAAAAAAAATGAATTTTCTGGTGTTTGTTAAGTTTACAATATGCAATAAACAGCTGTACTATCAGATTGGAATATGACAAATGAATTTTTTAAATAAGTCCCATAATTCAACAGCCAAAACAATTGGGAATAATTCATGAGGGTAATATTGCCTTCTTTTTTTTTCTTTTTTTTTTTTTGCAAGATCCATATAATTTTCTATATTCTTTTTTTTTATTATTATTATTTTTTTTTTTTAACAAACAATAACCATTACCCAAGAATCAGCTGTGGAGATGCATGTGTTTTGATGTAACCTCTATACATGGTATATGTTCAAATAACCACCGTATTAAGATACAAACTGTTTGTTTAAATTTCTTTGCAAGTGTAGCTTTATTTTTCTCCAATTTCTCAGGTAGCAACATATTGGATTTTCCATTACCACTTGTCAAATTCAATTTAAGAAATACTAGCTTTGTAGATGCCCATGAAGTCTTTTTATCCAACACAAGTAATTCAGAGAAAATGTCCATTGACTTTACCAATCCATTATAAGACCAAAGAAAGATCTTCAAAAGTTAGCAAAAGAACTGGACAACCCAAGTGAAAACCTTATCATATAATACGAGACTTTCCCAGTGAAAGCCCAGTAGTTCATGATCCTCTTTGTGACTGGGTATACACACCAAGCTGAGATACTCAGATGGTATAAAAGATCTTGCACCCTGATGTTGTAAATCAAATCCATGCTTAATTCTGAAACCGAATGTCATTAATAATGACATAATTGCTTAGGAATAAATATTTAAGGAAATTTGGGATAATAGGGGTTAAAAAAAAACAAAACAAAACATAACTACATTACTTAAGGAATAATGTCAATTATCTGGGCTTTGCAAATTGTTCCCACACTCTAAACAAATGCATTGGAATTTGCAGTTTTCAAGCTTGCATAGCCCTTCCCTATTATATGGCTAGCAAATTTCTATGGAGATTTGCTTCTCTCTTTTTTTTTTTGAAAGCCTTAGTCTAAACCTTGATCAGAAGGGGGAGATGGAAAGACCTGTAGTTTCCTCTCTATATCCCTGTGTTTAAATGCCTGAAGTACAAATTACACACTAACCATTTCCGAAGACATACCCTTAAACTTGTCTATATATCCTAATTTGTTTATCAACAGTTTGTCAAGGTTTACTTCTAGATGATGCCAAATCATGACTTGTCTCTGCATGATTTACACAAAACTGTGTTTCATTTGGGAATTTTCTAGTATAGACAGAAATCAAATGCATAGATTGCTGTTTTCCACTGAAATATAGTATTGATTGTTTGATCTGTATTTCTGGGTGCTACTGAAATGTTAGAGTTAAAATCAATGTGTACCCATTATTTTGGTGGTAGGCACAAGACTGACAAAAGGTGGTGCTCCAAGGTCAATATATTGCTCTTCCTAAGTCTTTTGTTAAAGCATTTATGGAATCAGTGCTAAAATAAAAATTGATCCCTGAAGAAGAAATATTAAATGGTACCAGTTTTAGTCCCAGGTTTTTGTTTGTTTGTTTGTTTGTTTGTTTTTGTTGTTGTTGTTTTTTTTAATAAACCGTGCCAATTTCTTTGTGTTAAATCATAAACAAGTCCACCGTAATGAAATTTACAATTGAAAATGCAATGTTGGTTAATGATTAGAAGCTTTAACCAAAATATATGCTACAAGCTCTCGATTCATTCAATACAGTTATTATCATTGTGTATATATATATATATATATATAGGTCTGCAAATTATTGTACTCGTACACAAGCAATATATCTGCCTAACTCGACAGGGCTAAGCTAGCTATGTATATCAAACCATACAGGATATGTCAAATGAATTGCCTAAACATACATGACAAAACTAGGCTATCCCAACCTATAAGATATAGTTATAAGCATATCCAACCATAAGGGATATGTCAAACAAATTGTCTAACTACCACAAGACAAACCTGGTTATCCAAATAAGGCAAACATACACCTGAGGATATGTAGAACATAAGCATATCCAACCAAGCCGGACATGTCAAGCAGAGTGTCAAACCATACAGGGCAAATCTGGTTATCTTACAATACACGATAAAGATATTTGTAAGCATATTTATAATCATACTACATATGTCAAATAAAGTGTTCAACCATACTGAACAACTTCTTTATCCAACCATTCATGATCAATAAATATTAAATAAATATTAACATAACCAACCCTACAGGATATGTCAAATAATTGTCCAACCATACAGGATTAATCCAACGTCTGTAAATAAATGTTTGAATATGTCCTTTGTACAAGATGTTTGATTATTACTATTGTTTAAGACAATGTCTCCTAAACAATTAATATTGACTTCTTTATTTTGAATCTATATCTCTTTTAGCTGTACATTACATTTAATTATTCATGCATTAACGAACTCTACATGTTTTATCTTTGATTGTATCATTTTATGTAATATGTTGTTTGAAATTAGAAGGCCCCGGGGAAGAATAGTACCTTGTACTAATCGGGTAACCTTCTCTAAATAAAGCATTATTATTATTATTATTATTATTATTATTATTATATATAATTATATATACATACATTCTCTATACAAGCATATCCAAACATACAGGATATGTCAAATAAATTATCCAACCATACAGGATAAACTCAGTTACCAAAGCATAAAGGATATAAAAATTCTGTATCTAAACCTATTCATCCATAAAGGTTATGCCAAATAAATTGTCCAACCATGTAAAACAAAACTTGGTTACCTAATCACATGATTAACATATAAATACCCTTATATGAGCATATTCAACCATATAGGATATCTCAAATTAACTGTCCAACTATACAGGACAAACAGGTTACCAAACTGTACCAGATATGTATATGTATATATATTTACCATATACAAGCATGTCCAACCATATAGGATATGGCAAATAATTGTCCAACCATATAGGACAAATTGGTAACCAAACCATACAGGATATATATTGAAGTACAAGCATATCCAACCATATAGGATAGCTAAAAATAATTGTCCAACCATATAGGACATCTTGGTTACCAAACCATACAGGATATATATATACTGTATACACCCATATCCAACCATACAGGATATGTCAAATTAATTACAACCATACAGGATATAAATATACTGCGTCCAACCATATAGGACAATATGGTAACCAAACCATTCAATATATATACACTGTATACAAGCATATCCAACCATATAGGATAGCTAAAATTAATTGTCCAACCATATAGGACAAGTTGGTTACCAAACCATACAGGATATATATTGCTGTACAAGCATATCCAACCATATAGGATAGCTAAAAATAATGTGTCCAACCATATAGGACATCTTGGTACCAAACCATACAGGATAAATATATACTGTATACACGCATATCCAACAATACAGGATATGTCAAATTAATTACAACCATACAGGATATAAATATACTGCGTCCAACCATATAGGACAATATGGTAACCAAGCCATTCAATATATATACACTGTATACAAGCATATCCAACCATATAGGATAGCTAAAATTAATTGTCCAACCATATAGGACAAATTGGTTACAAAACCATACAGAAATATTTATACATATACATACCGTGCACAAGCATATCCAACCATAATATAGGATATATACAGCAAAAATTGTTCAACTATATATGGACTACCTTGGTAACCAAACCATACAGGATATATATACACTGTATAAAAGCATATAAAACCATATAGGATTTCTAGAATTAATTAACCAACCTTTTTTTTTTTTTTTTTTATTATTATTATTATTATTATGAGCGTGATGTGGCTAATAAATCACTATTTTCATTTCCAAGTTCCAAAAAAAAAAAAAAAAAAAAAAAACCCAAGCAAAGCATAAATATACAATATGACTACCTTAATATGCTTCATCTGTGTAATTATGCAACCAACCCAATGGCAAATAATGAAATCAAAATAAGCGACTGACTGTAATAGCTACATGATGAACAACAAAGGCAATTTACTCTAGCTACATGCATTTGCAGTGCTAAATTCTTATCGTATACTGACAATCCACAGGCCTTAGTTCCTTAATGAAACCAAAAACATTATATGCACTTGTAACCTACCCAAACTTCACCATATTACACTAAATTGTTATAAATATAAGTATTGAAGTTATACAATCTGCCTACAAGCTTTAAAGTGCTGAAACAACCGACATCCTGTTACTATTCTAATAGTTTGTGTAACCATGTGCTCATTTTTGGTGCACACCATTTTAACAGTTTACTTTATTCTCATTTTCTGATGACCAAAGTCTTTAGTAATGAAAGAAAAAAAAAATCTTACATCCTAACCATGATAACCAAATTCTCTGCCTGATTTAGCGTTAAAAAGCCTGTTAATACCAACAACACCTTAACATTGCAGGATTCATGTTCTATTAAGAACCTGTCAGGTTTACTTGGTGGTTTACTTTGAAGAATTTGGTATGTTGACATTACACTGTGCACCAAATGACCCCGAATTTTTCTCAGCGAGTAAAACATTCTCAACCCAGTCGCATAACTTAATATCTAGACTACACAAATCATTAGAACCTTATTGCATATACATACTAAATCGGGTTTAATTTTATCAACTTCTGCGAGCCTACCATATCAATGTAATGCAACCCGAATATCCTCTATACAGAACCTTCTCGCTGAGATATTCAGATAGAAATTGATATTTCACTGTTCTACACAAATCTGCAAACGAACAATAAATCAATATCTTTGAATCAAAACCCTACTCTGCATGAGTGACACAATATAAATACTCACACCTAAGTAAAATTTGTAAACCACATTTTGGAGCCGAAATGTTATTCTGATAAGGATAAGGCTAATAGCCGTTACTAGAGGACGCTTAAGTATAAAACCCGGAAAACTCTTCGGGACCCATGAATTCAAACAAATTGGTAATTAATAAAAATATGCAATTTATTACGTATTTAGATCACATAAATTCCTTTATATACATAAATACACTTAAGAGATTATACGTGCAGAGAAAGTCTTTAAAAGTTTGTACTATATCGGCGTGACAGAAATTCATACTCTCCAAGATACCATAAAAGATTTTGCATATTTTGATTTAGAACTGCAAACTCTCTCTCTCTCTCTCTCTCTCTCTCTCTCTCTCTCTCTCTCTCTCTCTCTCTCTCTCTCTCTCTCTCAGTGCACCGTTGCTTAAACGTTCTGTAAGAAAAATTATCACTCCTGCATAAGTATATCTATTTTATATTTCATAGAATTCACTGCTCATCCATACGTTGATGAAAATGTTGCTGTCATTACATTCGGAGAGGAAGTCAAGTTCTTACATTATTATTCTCACAACTACGAATCTGTTAGACAAAGTCTTGGTATTTTATGTTTATGTTTATTACAAATTCATACTTTAAAAGCTTATAATAATTATATTTAACATACATTTGTTAAATTCAATATCAAATAAATCATATCGATAAATGAAGCAAATGTTTTTGCATTTTAAATTCCCATCTTTTCATACTTAAGCTGGTGTAGAGTGCAGTGGCAGTTCTCCAATGGAAGCTGGTATTCTTCTGGCTCTGTCCTGTTTGCTTTATGGAGGAGGTAAGGGTCTACAATTTATTCTCATGAAATTAAGGTACATGAATAGAAAAAATCAATTCTATGTCCACATTGACCAATTTAAAAAAATCCTATCGCATTAATGTCCTCCTTTTAAAGTTTAATATTATTTACAATATAATTATAACCAAAAATTTTGGTAAAATCTGTGCCGGTGGATATACCTTGAAAATAAAAAAAAGTCTTGTCGGCACATATTTGCTTTTTGAAGAAGTTAATATACAAATTTTGAAGTAGACAAGTAGTGATTTATCCTCTGCATTTAAAAAAATTGTATGCATATGCATGTTATCTTTTTCTAGGCCATGTTGCCGCCTTCAGACACAAATTAAGAGTAGATGCAAGATTGATAATTATTTCGGATGGATGGCCTTCATCATCTTCTAATGTTGGTGGACCTGAAATAGACGGAAGCAGAAGAGAATCATTTTATGATGGGGTAAAAGTATTTTTCTCATAACAAATTTTCTTGCTGTAAATCAAATTGATAATGTTTCAATTTTTTTACGATTTTTCTATCATTATTAGAGTCGTGCTTCAATGAATACAATAAAGAATTAAGACAGGGTATATTTTCTGATTTTAGACTATTGCAAGATTGCAATCACTAATCAAATCAATAGGAAAAATTAATCCTATTGTATGTATTCCAGTAGGATTAGATCCAAACATTGTAAGTCATTTTTAGAAAAAAAGTGTCTTTTTAAAATCTTTTTCTTCCTTTCCCAGTTTAGCACAATTTTCTATCATATCCTTCTCCATTTAGGAATTCTTAAAGGGCTTAGTGCAGGTATGCAGGCGAGGTAGGCTTTTAAGTCATAGAGAAGCCCGTCAGTGTGGAAGGTTGGCTCTCCATATGGTAAGCTATATGGATGACATAATTTTTTTTTCAATAGAATTGAAAGTTTTACGTTTTATTAATGTTATATTCTTTCAGAGAATGACCACTCATATTTTGGATAAAAAGCCAACAGCTCAAATAACGCGTCAAGATATTGAAAGATTTGCAAGATTTTCAAGCGAAGAAACTGACTTCACTGAACATGACTTGGTATAAATCAAATGTTAATCATGGTTAATTCATTTTTTAATTAATACATCTAACTTTATATTACAAATAAGTCTCTTTTACTACTTTAACTGCTTACGGATTCATGTAAAATCTACAGTGTACAAGCATGATTTAATATTGTTGTCTTTATAATCTTAAACAAGAGAACAAATCTATAAATTTATATGATTCGTTAATTTCAAATTAGGAGGATGTCTTCGATATAATTGATAATTTATATGCGTACAAACCACTTACTGAGGAAAATCTCAACGATGACGACGATGTCTTTACTGAACGTTATCCAAATCTTCCTAAAATTGGTACTAGAGTAAGACGTGGACCACACTGGACCTATAAAAACCAAGATAGTAATGGACCAGGAACAGTGATTGGGCACTCAGAAAATTGTACGAAAAAACTAACAATTTATTTGCGAATTTGTATTCAGTTAAGAAGAATATAAAGTCTACTTCGTCTCACTTGAAAAAGTTCAAATATTTCATAGGCACTTTAAATGTTTTTGAGAATGAGTTGTTAAAATGTTTTTGTTTAGTTGGTTACGTTATAGTAGAATGGGACAACGGAGTTCGGTTGAGTTACCAGTACGGATTTGATGGTATGGATGAAAAGTATGACATCGCTACCTCCGAAGAACCAAGAATTCTCGAAAATGAATTGATAGCTGTTGGTTGCTTAGTAACCAGAGGTACAGTTCACATGAATATAATTTGAATAAATCGCGTTTAGATTAAGTTTAAATGTAGGGATGATTGGATCGTGAAAAAGTGCATGTATTTAAATTAAACCATTAAAAAAACTCTTTTTAAAATTTATATTTGATGATTTGAACATAAATTTTAAACGAAAATAACGAGTTTTACAAATATATCAGGCACAGACCAATGTATAATTCAAACTTCAATTACAAAAGGTCCTGATTGGAAATGGGGAGACCAAGATGGTGGTGAAGGCAACGTAGGAACAGTGTATAGAGTCGAAATGGATGCTGTTGTTTATGTACGTATAATTTATGCGAAATTATAAAAATTTCTTAATACATTCAGATAACGAACAATAATCAAGACCAATAATCCATTGTCAAAACAAAACAAATCGGACGCAAACAAAACACAGAACTCTCAATTTATCAGAGGCGGGATCACTCGTCCTATTCTTATTATAATTATCTTGGACAGGCGCAATAAATCAAACAAAAGTACTTATGGGTTTTATATTTATTTGGCGCAATTGGGCACAACTGAATTATACAACATATTTTGGGCCTCCAAAGCAACGGGTAGGCCCAGCAACAACAACAATAACATTTCAGTACAACAACAACATATCAGGTGACTTTGACCCTGGGAGATGCAGAGGTCAAGGTCAAATAATAAAACTTAGTCGTTTTCTAAAATTTGATTAAAACCAACCTTGCAACTAGCGTGTTACCGGCAAAGAGATGGTTTGCAGCATGAGTGCATTCTTTATATAATTGAAGGTTAAATAACTCGTGCAAAAATAAGGAGAGATAACTGCGCCAAAAAATTTGCGCTTCCTAGATAAAAGCATCTTATTCGCATACAGGCGAGATAGTTGCCATATTATTATCATACAAACGGAAAGAAAAACGAAAAAATTCAAAAACAATGATGACAGAATAATTATTATGAAATTCTCAGTCAGCATTCGACTTTATGATTGAGTGTTAACAATGTAAGCTTTCCTTCGCTTTTTTTCTAAATATATTTTATTTCCGCTCTTTCTTAGATATATTTGTTATGAAATTAAGCCATTTTAATAAATAATAAAATGTTTCTCTATAGCATGTACTCAAATTTTATCCTACAGAAACAAAAATGCACTTCAAGTCTTCAATTGTAGAAGTGTATCTTCAATATGTAGGTAAAATGGCCCAATGGCAATAAAAGTAACTACAGATATGGATACGAAAACAAGCATGATGTGCAGCTATGGTAAAGTGTTGTGTTACTTTGTTGATACTCTGTAGCTAAATCATGCAGTTAATAAAGATAAAATGTAACTTTTGAAAATTAATAATTTATTGAAAATGAATATTAATAAGTTGTTCTGATTCTCATGCAGTGATCCGTTTGAGCCGTTTCTTCAACCAGTCAACTCTCGGCACCAGTTGAAAAAATCTAGTCTTCTTGAAGGTACATAATAACAAAAATTATTTAAACTCAGCAATTATCATTATGAATTTATCGAGAAATAATAAAAGCAAAGCATGTGTGTAATACTGGTATTAATTCATACAAAGAACGTTTATTTGGTTCCTAGAGTAAAATAAAAGAAAAAAGTTCAAAATTATTATTAAAGTTATTTTCATCATCTTTAATGTTGTCAAATTCCAAGAACTGTTTTTTTTTAAACAAACTATGATGAAGAAGAAACAACAGACACTGAATGGGATTAAAAATGGATGGCTACTTCACCGAAAGATGGTGAAAACCATTCAAAAGCAAAATGCAGCTCTAAAAATGAAATTAAGGGATCGAGAAAATATGAGAGTCGTGAAAAAAGTCTAAATGGACAAACCCGCATCGTCGATGGCAGTGGAAAGATTCTTCTGGAAGATGGAAAGAATACAGTGATGAAATAAACGATAAAATAGAAGACTGTTACAGAAGAAAACCTGAGTCATCTGTTGTCATTGACTTCAATGGTCGCTTGTAAGTAGTTTTTACTGTTCAATACGTTTAAAGAAGTAAAACATATTTTAAAATACATTTGAATCAAACGATATTGTTTTATATGATTGATTGTTATTGTTTAACGCCGAGCCGGCAATATTTCAGCCATATTTCGGCGATTATTGTTTTTATCCCGAAACGTATTTTATCACAGCATGCTTTATTATCTTTTTTTCTTAACCGGTAATATAAACAGGTTGTATGTTTTATTTTCATAGATGCAGGGTTATATTTCAAAAGAGGAAACAAATAGACACGCTTTCCAAATCAATAACGGATATAAGATGCAGTGAAGATGATGAAAAAAATACTTGAGTTATGCTATAATCGGAGTTATTGTCGTCCTTGATACATGTGTATATGTTATAGACATACAATGTGAATAAATTTAAAACTACGGTGCCTTGCTTCTCATTGAGATTCGAGGGTCATTAAAACCCACAGAAAACGTCGTCGTTCTTCGTCAGATTATTTCTTCGAACTAAAATCAACACATATATAAATAAATGTTAAATGTTAAACCATTTAATTTAACCATCACATGAATCAAGAGTAAAAAAACGTTAAAAACCTATTTCGCGGGGGGGGGGGGGGTAGGGGGCGGGTAATCGATGACTTTTAATGCTTCAAACCTTCAGACTTTTCATACCAATTTAGCACAAATTCGCGTCTATCAGGGGCGTCCAAGGTAACTTTTTTCTTGCTTTTTTATATAAATTTAATAACCTTGCAAATTCCAGAGGGGGTCATGACACCCCCATCCCCTCCTCTAGATCCGCGCATGTATGTCTTCTTGAATTTTGAGAAATAGAAATGAGAAGAATCACTCCTTAGTTCTATTCCTCTTTGTCAATGATTAGGGGTCATTTGAAACAGTCTTTCTTTTTATTAAGAATTTCACTCAATACTAGAATACAACAGCTTTCAGTGAAATTCTGAATATGACTTTTGACTGAACAAATGGATTGATTGCTTTTTCGTGGCGTGTCGGTGCCTGTCATTGTAAAAAAAATTTACTTGTCAAGAACTTTCGATAAAGATCCAATCACTGCCTAATCAAAAGTGCCGAAAATAAAATCAACCCATTTCTTACAAAAAGCAAATTTAAAGCTTTGGACTAAGTCACTATGACATTCAAGTAAAAAATGCACATTGCATTTTGTTTCTGTTTTTTTTTGTAATTCAGCTGATTATACATCTGTGCATTCCGTTCTAGATTTCCTGTTTATAGCTAGGGACTCACAAGGAAATATTTTCATTATAACCAAACTGAAACAAACATGAAGAGACTTGAAGCTTTTGTAAATAACGCGAAAAAATGGCTACTATTCCTGTTTCAATGAATAAGTGAAGACACGTTTTTCCTATGGCTGGTTGTATTGAGGAACATTCTTTGGCACGAAGATTGAGTAAAGAATCTAAGGAGCGTAAGTGATCCTATACAGTATTGGGAAATCTTGACAGTCATGCTTACCATATTATATAAAATGCAGAATTGTATACTCAATTTTTTTGGTCTTCTCTAATAGTTGTAATGTTTATCATCAAACATCGTCAGAGAAGTTTCATTTGTATTGCTTTTGTAATATTTTACAATTGCTGAGGATGATACATGGTCAAAGCGGGTAATTGGAGTGAATTGGAGATAATTTGATTGATTTTGACTATATTTTATTAAAGATTACAAAAGAAAACACGCAGAGGGCCGTGGAGCATGCAATCTTTTCATATTGGATACATCAGAGAGCATGAAAGGAGAAGGGTGCCGACAAATGCAGAAGGCTTTTGCGTCCATAATAGAAGGCATATATTTCAAATAAACTATTTCTTTTTCTTTCATAAGTAAAATTTTAGAATAAATAGGAGCGTGGATAAAAGACTGCTTTTGTTTATTTATAGTCTACGCAAAATATTCGTCGTTGGAAGAAAATGTTGCAGTGATACAATTTGGAACAGAGGTTAAATATCTGCAATATTTTTCCAAAAACTATGTTTCCTTGATGGGATTATTAGG